TACCGAGGTTACGGAAGCAATCGCAATTCGTAGAGAATGCGGCAGCGTTAAATCTAGGCTGGTTAAAAACTATCTATTTTTATTTTACTCGAGTTCCCAAAACGGTGTGCTATGCTTTCAAGGTTAATGAAATAATGTTCAAATCACAAATGGCTAAAATGAGCTTTTACAGGTTTTCAGTTTCAGTTATGATGTGTAGGAAAATTAACAAGTTTTCTTTCAATTTCCAAGTATATGTGTTAGTGTCAGGTCTGAGGTCAACATGTCTTTAACAACTGCTGTCTACTGTTTAATTTATTTTTAACGCAGTAGTAAAACAGAGATCGAAATCGAAATGTTGTTTGCACTCAAATACTTTAAGGTTCCAATAAATCACTAGGGACAAGGAGTTCGGTTGGAGTTGTTCGCAAGATTTCTGAAGTCTGTTGACATTATAAAGATCTATGATCTAACTGGCTCTATGTTCATGGACTTGTGTCCTATTCGTACTTATTTTAGACCTATTGTGAATGGTAACAATGAAGTCCACTTTGTTATTAATTAATATTAATAAATTTTAAAAAATAACACTGTTAGTTCTTTATCTGACATTGTTGTGTAGGCATACAAAGTCGTCTATTGCCTAATCGCATGCACCCTTCCGGTAGACGGGAAAAACAATCAACGGTGCAAAAGTTCATGTGGCGTGGGAAAAAAGGCCGGTCTTTACGTCTACTGCACGATGATGGATGATATGATATACAAACTTATGTGTGATGTTGTGCTGTTATGTGTACGTTGCGTAATAACGACCAGTGTCCAAGGCATATTTACTCAGTGTGAAGTGTCGAAGGAGATGATGCTACCTACACGTACTTACATCTTTTAAATCATCTTGTTAAAATTTTCTCCAAGGTGATAGGATATTAGGAGGTGATCAGTGATGATGACCTTCCGTCTTAGTTAAATGATTGGCTCTACAAAAAATATTAAATATGTATTTCAAACATCCTTTTCCACATCCAAATTTTTCAGAACATTTGTTAGATTTATGTTAATGTGACCTACTTGATAGAATAGCCGTGCAACAAACCAGTCTCACTCATGTTTAAAGTATGAAACAATAAATGCAATCAGATCTCATTGATATTATTTTGAAAGTTTGAATTTCGCAAGGACACTGTCTATCATAGCGAGGGTTTGTTGCAAATGTCTATTGCTAAATAGTTTGGGCGTGTTAGGCCGATTTCACACGCTGCAGCTTAGAGCACTATGAAGAGAGGAGCTGGCGCTGGCACCACCATCTATGTAGGAGTCAGATAGAGCTGACTACAAGCGTCAAACGTGGAAGCGTCGTGTGTAATCAGCTTTAGTTGTTTGTGTTGTTGAGAACGCGTGTGTGCTGCGAGGGTGGCGGCGCCGCCAACTGGGTCGTGTTGTGAAACAGAGAGAGGCGGTGATGCTGTCTGCGCAACAATCGACAAGCTTGCTGTGCAGGCCGACACAGACCTTACACACACGTGGTATTTAGGTTCTGCTTCAAATCAATGTTATGAAAATGCCGAAATTCAACCGGCAGAGAATGCCTTAAGTAAGGCATTAAGTTCGCCTCATGTACTGATTGAATATTATTAAAATATGTAATGCTATTATTAATAAACTTTTACACAACTTCGTAGTACCACCTATTTAAAAAGTCCCTCGCCTATCAATTTGTCTAGATTTATATTGCTAATAATCAGAGGAAGTAAAGGCTTAGGAAGTAAAATTATAGGCTTTAATTCATTGATTAGGTGTGCTAAGAAATGGCGGGCCGCACTATGGAGCGAAATTGCGATTTATGGACATAGCGATTTTTTTCACAATTTCTATTTGAAAAAAATACCTATCGATAGGTTACGTTATTCTGATGAATAAATGCTGCACAAGTTTTTCTCTAAAACCAATAGTTTGACTGGAAAAAAATATTTTTCATTTTCGTTGTATGGAATGAAACATAAAGTGGTCGATTTCGACTAAGCCTTGACAGATCTTGCTTTGAAACTACTTGNTAGTGGGCCGGTTACTACCGGCGAATTATCAACTGATAATTAGATAATTTAGTTTAATATTTTTAAGGCATAAGTATATTCACGAATAAATACGTTATTATTAGTTCAGTTAATTTACTTAATTAGGTAGGAAGTACTAGTACAATCTACTCAATTTAGTTCAATCAGTAGGGTAGGGTAGTTTGGTATTTATCATTACTATAAATAACTTTTGCTATAGAATAGAGGTATTTTTGTCATCGAATGCTTATGTGAAGTACATTCTAATAATTATATTAATTATCTTTAAATTAAAAAAAATAATTATCAATCTCTTTGATACTATCAGAAAATGACGTTCTGAATAATAGATAGGAACAGTTACTAGTTAGGTACTTAGGTACCTATTAACCCACGGCTAAGTAAGTACTACTTTGATGTTAACACTTATCAAAAGATTATGGTATTATTGTGTACTTGCTTAGTATCCATATAAAATGGTCACAATGTTTATAATTTATTTACGGGGAATCACAAAATGGCTCAACAGTATTATTTTATTTGATAAGGTGATATGAACAATATCACAATGAATTCGCTGTTCAGCACTACACACGGGAGGAAATAAAATTAAATTTAGAGAAAAAAAACTTCATCGTAATAAATTAGAATAAAGGCAAACTTAGTGCTATAGGGCATTCTCATCTAGTCAGACTTTGAAACAAGAAGGTTTAATATAATACACTCGCGAGCAAAACTATGGAATCACTTACATGAAGTTGTTTCCACGCGATCTTGTGTACTAACGAATTTGTTAGTAACAAAAAAAGTGGCACCATTTTAAATATTAAACTTTTACCTTTAAATTGATACCAAATTCATTTAAATCACAACAGTATTTAAAAAGATATCGCGGCTGATGTGAAGAAGTAAGGAAAAAGACATGTATCAACTGTTTGATACGTCGCGAGTTGCGGCCTACTTACCCCCTATAAAAACACGTGTTTTCGGATTTTTGCTTTCACACGTTGATCCATACACATCTCCGCTTTTTTTGACACTTTACCTGGGATTCTACACCTACAGAAGCAGCACAAATCGTTGCACTATTGCAAGAAGGGCTCAGCCAGCGGGCTGTCGCACGTCAGCTCCACATAAGCCAGTCCTGGGATTCGAAAGTTTTAAGACGCTTTCGGGAGACTGGTGGCTTTATCCCGAGACCAAGTTCTGAACAGCGCCGGTGCATATCGCAGAGGGATGACCGTTTTTTCATGTCAACCTCTCTATGAAATCATCATTTGAGTGGTATCGACGTCCAGCAAGAGCTCAGAAATGTTCGTAGGATAGCTGTTAGCATGTGGACAGATCGTCTAAGATATAAGCAATAGAATTTGACTCCAAAAAGGCCTGCCACAGGCTCGAAACTGACGGCAGGTCACCGACAAGCACATTTCTGAGCTCTTGCTAGACGTCGATACCAGTCAAATGACGATTTCATAGAGAGTTTGACATGAAAAAACGGTCATCCTTCTGCGATGTGCACTGGCGCTGTTCAGAACTTGGTCTCGGGATAAAGCCACTAGTCTCCCGAAAGCGTCTTAAAACTTTCGAAACCCAGGACTGGCTTATGTGGAGCTGACATGCGACAGCCCGCTGGCTGAGCCCTTCTTGCAATAGTGCAAGGATTTGTGCTGCTTCTGAAGGTGTATAATCCCAGGTAAAGTGTCAAAAGAAGCTGCGATGTGTACGGATCAACGTGTGAAAGCTAAAATCCGAAAACACGTGCTTTTATAGGGGGTAAATGGGCCGCAACTCGCGACGTATCAAACAGTTGATACATGTCTTTTTCCTTACTTCTTCACATCAGCCGCGATATCTTTTTAAATACTGTTGTGATTTAAATGAATTTGGTATCAATTTAAAGGTAAAAGTTTAATCTTTAAAATGGTGCCACTTTTATTGTTACTAACAAATTCGTTAGTACACAAGATCGCGTGGAAACAACTTCATGTAAGTGATTCCATAGTTTTGCTCGCGAGTGTATTTAAGTTACCTATTACCTAGAGTTTGTAGAATGTAAGTTAGCTATAAATTCTTGTTTGCATTGGCCTGACTTTGATCACGGAGAGGAGGATATTGAGGAGAATGAATTTGTATGTAGACGGGGGGCTAAAGGCGAACTCCTTTTAGATCGTAGTTTTTTTTAGTACATAACTACCTCCTCCTAATTCTAGTTAGCTAACTATCCTACGAGTGCAGAGAAGCATATTCGTTCAAAGGGTAAGGTAAGTAGTTGGCTTGTAAAATCAGGAGTCGTCTATCAAATAAAACAAATACGTACATAGGGACTACAAAGGATCGCTTTGTAAGAAGCTGTGACTGTGTTGGGTGGTTGGGTGCTATTCTAAAATATACAGACGATAGCACGTCAAGCTAAACACTGCGATTTCATGTGGTGCTATTGCTGGTGGTAATATGTGCGAATGCTACAAAAATGAATTATTTTAAATTATTGTTGTCTGTCAGTAGACTGTCGTTTTAGTAAGTAGAATAAAGGTGTGAAATAATACAAAATTACGTTACGTATAAACTTATATTATGTGAAAATAATTCATTATATTAGCCTAAATAAAACAATTAAAAAATCTAGGTTATTGCATTTTCTGTTGTACAGCATTTAAACTATTCACATAAAATATAATTTTAACATAGTCAATTAAGACATGAAACAAATTGTAAGATTAAACAATAAAATGGGAAATAATACAGCAGGTATACATTACAATAAATTCTAATAGCAGAAGTCTTTGAGACTTGAAACACCGAGTTGCGTATTTTATCAGAAAATAACTAAATTAACAATGTATTGTATTGTGACTTACGTAATTATAATATACACCTACTGAACTGATACAAACCTGAATTTAAACGTAAGAAAAATGAAAGACATAAAATCGAATTCAACGTTATTATACAATAAAAATTAATTTCAAAATATAATAGGTAATTCCTAAAAACATCAAACATCAAGCTAATTTTTTTGACTAGTAGCTTAGAAAAAGTAACAATGCCAAAAGTGAATAATGCAAAATACATATTATTTTGTTTAATTCAAGTATTATTGTCATTGTCAGTACACGCGACACGACAGCTTTGTTTTTGAAAATGTAGGTAGGTAATTCAATTCTGATTAAAATGGATGATTGTATCTTATCAACTTCAGCAAGTACGTACCTATGTATTATCGCCCACATTTCCTTAATTTAACGGCGATAGCCAGATTTAATGATACGTACGTTAAGTAGTTAGCATGAGTACCAAAAATGGCTTGTACTTATGTTAATAAAATATTCCACATAATTTGTATGTATCTATAATAAATTCGTTACTATATTTCAGTGTGTTTACATGCTTACCTACAACATACATAATTTAGATGTGTATTTATGCAGTAAGTATTCACAAAAGTACACGAGTCGTTGCGTTTCAATTTTGGTTCGTTTTTTGTTAGGCAACAAATTTTCAAAATTAATACCTATCATGAATTAATTAAATTTAGAAATAATTGTAGCTACGGTATTTTAACCTATGGTTTTTAAACATGCGAGAAACACTTGTTATTTATGACAGGTAGGTATTATTAAGGCCAAATCATCTGCCGGTTTTTTAGAAGGTCGTTTTGTGCTTGAATTGATTTCCTAACGAATTATATTGAGACAATAAACGTTTGTTCTCTTGTCTAGCTTTGTCGTAATAATGTTTATGGTATTTCAGTTCCTCAAATTAAATCCCCAAACCATAAGGGTAAAGTAGATACGCAGCCATCTACTTAGTTATGTAAAAGGTATTTACGCAGTACCGATACATAAACTTTCGAAATAAAAATTAATCGGGGTCGAAGGAGTCGGGATCAGATCAATTCAGACAATAATAATTTCATTAAATACTACATTACTCTCGAAGTTGTTATCTATGAATAAACTGTATAATAACGTAATAAGAACAACTAATGCACCAATGCTTTCATTTCATTCATAGCAATAACTCTACTATACTTAGTGCCCTACATCATCCAATGGGGCATTAGGAATGTCATGATGCTCACATAACATTGAATGGAATGTAAACTTTTGGATAGATGAAAAAAAAATAAGATCTCACGTATTTTTTGTAGTATGAAATGCATTTTTCTGCTTCTTTCATTGTAATAATCAAATATTATGGATCGGACTCGATGACGAGAATTGGTGGAAGCTTAAGCCCAGCAGTTAACAGAATTGGTTCAAGTCAACAGTTGAACAGCTATCTTACATATCTAGCTAGTGCTAATATTGTAGACATTATGTGATGAGTAAAAGTACAGACTAATACATAACCAATAGCAAATTACACAGAATGAAATCATGATTCTTCTTGTGCAACATAAACTTATTCTACAACACATCACAAATGGTCGCCGCCTTATCACTTAAAAGCGCAGAAGTACTTCTTTCTCAAATAAAAAGTAAACCTAAATATTCAAATCACGTTATCTGATTGCCATAGATATTAGATAGGATAGAAAGTTCCTTACAACATCTCAATAGAGTCCTTTTAACAAAATAATTGTGATTTTTAATAATATCTTATTTACAATTTCATTGATTGTGCATTAGAGATCTCACGATTCCCGCAATGTTTGTTAAAGTTGCGTGTCGTCAAGAATGTGATTATTCCACAGTTACAGATTTGGCAAGATTTCGTGGACAATCGACATTGCAGCCTCTTAGAACTGCAATGTGATATGCTAGGAGCTGCATGGGAATTACTGTGAGAACACCTTGTAAACAGTCGACGGTCTTTGGAATGTGCAGGCACCGGGACGCCAAGGCCATAGTTTCCTTGTCGCCTTCTTCACAAACGACGATCGGGCGACCTTGACGTGCAGTCACTTGCTGTAGTGCGTTCATGCATTTTGTGTAAACAGGGTCACGCATTACAATCATCATTACCGGCATAGAGTCGTCAATAAGTGCCAAAGGTCCATGCTTCAGTTCTCCTGCCATTATACCTTCACTGTGCATGTACGTAAGCTCTTTTACTTTCAAAGCACCTTCCAGGCAAGTGGCGAAATTGTACCCACGACCCATTATGAGTAATGATCGCTGACGGTAAAGATCCTCAGCCAGAGCTTTAACTTCAGCGTCCAAAGACAACACTTGGCGAATTTTGCCGTCCAATTCATGTAGACCTTCGATAATATCGGCGCGTCGCTTCTGCAGGGAAATACGATCCTCACTGATCACTAACGCGAACATAACCAGGGAAACAAACTGAGATGTATAGGCCTTTGTTGAGGCGACACCAATTTCAGGGCCAGCATTGATGTGGACACCACAGTGGGATTCGCGACAGATGGAGCTACCAACAGTGTTTGTTATTCCCACTATAAGAGCTCCATGACGTTTGCAGTAACGTAGAGCCATCAAAGTGTCAGCAGTCTCTCCTGACTGAGATATAAAGAAACAGACATCATCACGGAATACAGGTGTGTTTCTGTCCAAGAAATCTGAAGCAAGTTCAACCATGACTGGCAACTCAGTTAATTCTTCCAAGAGCTGTCGGGTAGCAACAGCACTGTGGTAACTTGTACCACAGCCAATCAACATCAACCGTCTACATCTCTTGATCTCAGGTATGTAGTCCTTAATACCTCCCAAAGTTACTGTGCCATTGGCAAAGTTAAGGCGTCCTCTCATTGTATTTACAATAGATTCAGGTTGCTCAAATATTTCTTTCTGCATAAAGTATTCATAATTACCTTTCATGATTTGCTGCAACTCCAGTTTTAAGGTCAAAATCTCACGTTGATGAGGATCAGTGCTGCTTCCAGACATGCGATGAATGCTCAGAACTCCATCCTTTATGTGGGCAACATCATCATCTTCAAAATACAGAACCCTGTTGGTGTGTTCGATAACAGCAGAAGCATCAGAAGCAAAGAAATACTCAACATCACGTTCCTCTTCAGGTTCAAAGTGAGCATGGCTGTTGACGCGCGGCACTGAAGGCACAACTCCTCGTGTAGCCTTGTTGTTGGTGTACATAATAGGAACATGGTCGCTGGAGAGCCGTCTGCGTGTTTTGATTCCCACAAGCAAAGGACTTCCCCTACGGGTCGCCACACACTCATTTGGGAAGTGACGTGATTTGAAGCACAGAGCAAAAGCACCTTCAAGTTGTTGGATAGCCTGCTCGGCCAGCTCTTGGAAACTGTAGTTTTTGTGTTGGCTGTAAATGTGATGAATCAACTTCACTATAGCTTCAGTATCAGTTTGAGACTCAAAGACATAGCCTTTGTTTTCTAGGAAGGTTTTCACTTCTTTGTAGTTTGTAATGATGCCATTGTGAATGACAACAAAAGCATTGTCGTCTCCGGAGCGCTGAGGATGGGAGTTGATGGAGCTCGGCTCACCGTGCGTAGCCCAGCGAGTGTGGGCAATCCCACAGTGCGACTCGACACATTCTTCCACCGCGAGCTCTACGCTGCGTTCCTGCAGCAACTCTTCCAAAGCGGCCACTTTACCGCTGCGTTTCACCACAGCGATGTCTTTGAAGTCGGCAGCATCGACAGCGACCCCCGCCGAATCGTAGCCACGGTATTCCAATCGTTTCAATCCATTGACAAGCAATTCCAAAATTTCACGCCGGGTTTTAGGCGTGAGATGGTTGATATACGCAAATATTCCGCACATAGTAAATTATTGGAGTAGAACGATACGTGCACCCGACTGAACGAAACCACGACGCGCGAGGGACTGCGACTGTTGGAATGTACAGTCGATATTGAAGGCCTACACGTATTGCTCCTACCACTAATAAGTTACTTTCACTTACGGCAAGGCACACGTCATCGTGTTTCGTTATCAGCGGCTTGTTGGTGTCGTAAAATAAATACAGCGGCGAAAACCAGTCCAACTCACACAAAACATGAAAACAATCTGTCAAATTACTGACGGCTGATTGTCAATGTCAAAGAAACGTCATTATGACATTTTTTTTAAGCGAAGGAAGTAGTTATTATACAGCCTTGAAACCAAATAAACATCAAATCAAGAAAATTAGGACCAACCAAGAAAAAATATACAGGGTGTCCCAAAAACAATGGATAACCCTGTAACCATCCATAGGCCTCGCCATGGTCTCCCTAACATCAAAGGACAATGACCAAAAATGTATGGAGTGTGGTCCAAATGTCCACCACTAACGAGACCTATGTAGTAAAATAGTCTACTAAATACTGATTCATTATAACCAAACCGCAATCAAAAATATGCTGTCAGTAAAAAGTTATGACTGAATGAAAAGTCATGTTTTTTACCTTTTCATCCGAAAAATGTTCTTGATATCATTCTATCCATCACACATTTTGGACTAATCTATGCATGTTATGTCGTGTCGCTTAGTGCGCCGTGTTAGGTTCTCGCTAAAAGAAAAAAAAACAAGCTCAGAAGAAAGAGAACAATAATGGAATACTTGGAATAATGCGAAAGGGGTAAAAATAGTCTTATTTCCAACTGGCGCGGGGTTATAGATGAATTATATTATACATAATATATTATACTAGCTGTGCCTACGACTTTGTACGCGTGAAAATAGTTTGAATAATATTTCCCATTTTTACAACATTTGTCTTTACTGCTCCGCCCCTATTGATTGTAGGGTGATGTTATATAACCTAAAACTATCCTTGATAAATGGGCTATCCATAACAAAAAGAATTTTTCAAATCGGACCAGTAGTTTCTGAGATTAGCGCGTAAACTACTACAATTTTTCATACAGTCATAACTTTTTACTGACAGCTTATTTTTTTTTCGTCCCATACTGAAAGTTAATCTCTATTTAATGAACTTTAAGCCAATATAGGTCTCATTAGTGGTGGACATTTGGACCACTTTTGGTCATTGTCCTTTTGACCCTACTAAAAATATCACAGTTTTTTCAAGATTTTTAAGTTTTTGTGCATTTTTAGAATTACTTGGCTACATTTGTTTTAGAGGTTCTGCTGCTAAATCTTTATGTATACGAAACCTTTGTTTTCCACAGTGGCCTCGCGAAGGGAACGCACATTGTAAATAAAGCAACATTTTATCATCATCATCATTTCAGCCATAGGACGTCCACTGCTGAACATAGGCCTACCTCAATGATTTTCATAATGACCGGTTGGCCTGCATCCAGAACAGTCCTGTTTACCTTTATGAGATCGTTGGTCCACTTTGTAGGTGGGTGGACGTCCTACGATGCGCTTTCCGGTACATAGCTTCCACTTGAACCCTGCTGCCTCATCGGCCGTCATTGATGTGTTAGGGAGACCATGGGGAGGCCTATCGATGGTTATAGGGTTATCCATTGTTTTTGGGACACCCTGTATTATCTCCAGGCAAACATTGCACATAGGATTATTAATTTATTTTAATTTTCACGGTGTTCAAAGTTTAACTGTAGGAGAATGGTATTATGTATAAGTTCTCCTTTTGTTCCCTGTTCAATGTGTAAATAAGTTTCAAATAGGTACCTACTTAAATGTTGTTTTTATGTTTTAAATTTTATTCCTCCTCTTTATTATGGGCTAATAGAGAGGTCAGAGAGGAGGAACTGGCACCTTATCTCATACTAACTTTTTGTATGCTTGTGAAGAGTTTATGTGAGAACATAATAATTATTTGTGATCCTATCTGTTGTTGGGAGAAGTTGGCTGTTTCAGAAAGTGTTATTGGTAGGTAGCAATAAAAATACATTTGTACCAGTAGCTTCTTTATTGGTTTATCAGGATAAGGTCTTTACAAAATTATTGAAAAAATTACAAAGTTACATTTAGCTTAAAATGAGTCTTGAGTTTGTTTTCCGTATGTAAGAACTACTAACGTCGAGAAAATATCGCGGCTCGTTTCTTGGATATTGAAAGTTTAAACCCTTACACGCAATCACTACAATCCATAATATTATACTTTTTACTGTAACTAGGAACAGAAATACATTACTTACGCTTTACAAAGATTTCAATTTCTATCAAAACGTTTTAAACGCTTTACTCATACTGCTAATTCAACTACAGGGAATTGGTTCTCAACCAATTACCCCCATTTTCTACACTCTGATGTTTATCCATTACATTATCTTTATCAAACATTAAAAAAATGAATAATGTGAAAGAAATATGTACTATCGTGTTTCTCCTAATTTCCATATCACATCACTCCAAAAAGGGAACATCAGTAGTTAGAAAATGATTAATGTATTTTACAGTAAAGTTATTTTATAATATTAAAAAATGCAGCAGGCTTTACCATCAAACAATGATATCGATTTACTAAACCAATTGCTATTTGAAGTTTAACTTACGATGAAAGTAAAACGATCACGATAATAATTTAAAACAGATAAAACAATACCTAACTATCTACTAAAATGATAAGCCGGAAAATCTACAAGATCAGACTTAAAAACACTACCAACAGTCGTCAAACTCTGTGCGGCATAGTGGTTTAAAAATCCAATAGCGACTCTACTACTACTTTTCCTCCTGAACTCCTTTCGATGAAAAAATAAAACATAACGAGCTTTCAAGTACGGAAACTCAAACTTGGCGAGTGACTTACGACTAAAATAATCACAAAGACATAAACTTAACACGTAAGCGTAACTAAAACGAACTAACTTTAAGAATATCGTGCTATGATAAATGCATATGTCGGGGTCGAGCGTGATGTCACCAGTGAAGAAGCTCCGATTGTGGGGGGCTAGGGGGTCGCGGGCGGGGCGGGGCGCGGCGCGGGCCCGCGGGCCGCCCGGCGCCGGGGCGCGGCGCGGNGCGGGCCCGCGGGCCGCCCGGCGCCGGGGCGCGGCGCGGGGGGGCCAGCGGTCGCTTCGTTATTTTCAAAGTGCCCCATAGTTATTTCTTCTTCTGGGCCTTCTCGGCGGCCTTGGTGATTTTGCCCGTTGTTACCTCCTTGAATGTTACGCTCTGCAACAGAAAATTAATCATTTCATTAAAAGCAGGTAGGTATCCCTTTCTTATTCACCTACTAATTTTAACGCCATTCCTCAGTACTTTACGAATCCGACGTGAATCTATAGCTTACATCTAACTAAAATTAGACGATAATGATCTGCGGAAATTCCAGAACAATCGAAACAACCTAATAATATTTTCCATCTCTATGTAATATTTCCCGTACATGTTTTTCCTCCATTTGTTTTTCTGACCTAATTTTCCCACTTGTTTTTCTGACCTAATTTTCCCACAACATTAAGTATGGGTTTATTCGTATGTTAGGTAAACGCGATAGGTACTTGGCACCCGTTGCCCCTGGGCGCTTAAATCCACTTTGGAGCCGGCTCTGGCCTAGTCTGGCGGGTCTCTGTGACTGTCCATAGGCGGGGGCAAGCAGACTATGAGTCAGCATAGGGAGCTGACTACGGGGTGCGATGGTGAGGGACCTCCTCGTGGTGCACCCTGGGCAACGTCCGTGTGGTCTGTTCACGCGGGCGGCTAACTTCTCACCTGCGCAGCAGGTCTCGTCAACTCGGGCCTGTCGGGCAACCCGTAACCCACAATTGAGTGGGCCGGGGGCCATCGAGGCATTTGCCCGGGCCATGATGCAGGGGACATCTTTAAAAACCCCCACAGGTGGGGGCTGGCGGGGCGTTTGCCCGGGCCCATTCTTTGGAGGGCCGCTCTCGGTAGTCGCGATACTTCTCTGATCAGCAGAGCTGACCGAGCAGCGGCATAGAGCAGACCGTAATCCGCTACGGCGGGCCGGGGGTCCCGTTGTACCAGGGCCGCGAGGAGAAAACCTCTATAAAAAACAACTGGAGGCGGAGCTGCGGACGAATGTCCAACCAGGACAATAACTCGCGGCTCCATTTCTTTGGGCTCTGGTGGAAACCGTCGGGTTTTAGTGACGAAAAAAAAAGGGAGCTGACTACGGCCGTGATACTCTAAAATCATCTTACGGTGTATGCCGTACCTTAATAACGCCCACGGCAACAGTCTGGCACATATAGCGCACAGGTCTTCGGCTATTGGTGGGGGCTGACAATGAGCCGGTATAGAAAAAGGCCCGATCGGACCTACGAAGAGTGAACCCGAAACATTATAATACAGTGTACGCTCACCTTAATAACGCCCACGGCAATGGTCCGGCGCATGTCGTGTACGAGTCTTCGATGAGAGGGGGCAGACGATGAACCGTCATAGGAGTCTGACAAGGGTCGGTTGGACCTACGAAGCGTGAAATCCTATACTGTGTACGCTCACCTTAATAACGCCCACAACAATGGTCTGGCTCAAGTCGCGCACATGTCTTCGGCTATTAGCGAGGCCTATGAGCAGCTGACAAGCTCTGTCCAGACCTGCGAAGACTGAAGCCTGACACCATCTTACGGTAGCTCACCTTAATAACGCCCACGGCAACGGTCTGGCGAATGTCGCGCGTGGATCTTCGGCTATTTGACGACTATAAGCCGTGGGACTGAAAAAGGTCCCATCGAACTTACCAAGCGTATTTACCGTGACAGCTACCCTGAAAGCATCTTACGGTGTACGCTCACCTTAATAACGCCCACGGCAACGGTCTGGCGCATGTCGCGCACGGCGAAGCGGCCGAGCGGCGGGAACTCCTGGAAGGACTCCACGCACAGCGCCTTGGTCGGCACCAGCATCACGATGGCCGCGTCGCCGGACTTTATCGACTTCGGGTCCACCTCGGTGGTTTTACCTGAGGTGTGATAGAGGTGAAATTAATGGCATAGCTGAAGGATTGTGAAATAATATTAACTGGTAGGAATCCAAGGCAAAATGGTTAGCCGTTAGTCAGCTTTTATCTGCATTAAGTTGCTTTACTAAATATGCAAGTATAAGAGTTGAAATATATGCATAAGGTTTCACTTCGGAAATTTCTTCGACTACTGTACAGCTTGGCTGAATTAGAGCTGAATAGGGAGCTAAAAAGTCATCGTAGCATTATATCGGTGAAATTAAACATCAGTATTCAACCTTTAGTTAACTTACGCCCCAATCCTTATTAGGTTTGCAATTTTGTTTCGCATGGTTATAGCTAAAAATAGCTTTTCAACTAGAAAATTTACATATCTATCATTGTTTACTAATGAACTAGTTGGGAACCGCGGGCTATCGCGCGGAAGTTACGTTAGTCCCTCTACGTCCGGAGCGCGGACGCGCGTAACCGAGCGCCACTGGACAAGGCCGCGCCGCTTACTGGTGTGATGCAATTACTGTATGAGGAATTTACAAGGCAACCTTTCTTTTGTGATGCTATTGAACTTATTAATATTTAATAAGCAACGAATGAGGAAAATGTATTTTGCGATTACTACCTAGTACTACTTGTCCATAGACTGAAAGCCTTCAAAACAACTTTCGAACAATGCGGACATAAAGTCAGTGCCTCCTTCGCTAAATGAATAAAATGTATTTTGATCTCATTGTCGGGAACAGAAGGCAAGTGGAAAATTTAATTGCCCGTCAACCTTTAAGCTGGTGGCAAAATGACCGAAACTAGCTATATCTAATTTATAGCTTTATGCACTATCATTGACCATGACCAAGACCATGAACCTAGTAAACGTATGTTTTGTCCCTGTGTTCGTACCTGTGCGGCGGTCGCACTTCTCCTTGATCTCAGCGAACTTGCAGGCGATGTGTGCAGTGTGGCAGTCAAGCACGGGCGTGTAGCCGTTGCTGATCTGGCCCGGGTGGTTCAGCACGATCACCTGCCAAAGACCAGTCTATTTAGTACTAGACTTTAAACTTCTTATTACCAAAAAGTTACCCGGGGTGAACACTGGTTTAAAATGACATTGCCATACTAAATTTAAACTAGAGTTCAACTCGAGTTTAACTCTTTGTAATAAGGGGATTTATGTATTGTAATTTACTAATCGGACTAGTTAGTACTTATTGTGTAACGGACGATTGGACCCTGACACATTGGAACATGAGGCGAGAATTAGTTTGACCGCAAATATTAAAATCTCAACGGGGCGTGATATCCACGGAAAAGGAAAAAGTCTATCCTTTTTTCAATGCAACTATTTCATTCCCTCACCTTTTTTGTCCTATGCCTCCTCCATTAATCTGGAGCAAGAATATGCTGCAATCATTGGAATCTAGGTCTTCCTTCATGTAGAAATATTAACGTGTCTAATTAATATAAAAACTCAAGGAAACAGAAAGTTTACTTTTAACACAGAGTCTGTAACTTGTATTTTTACCAAGGTTGAAGTTAAATAACAAACGATAGTTTATCTTTGATGACGACAAACTTTCAGGTTTATCTTTGTTTTCTTCTGTCTCAAAAACTTCCTTCCTAAGTACCTACGTATCTATATTCGGCAATCTTTTGCATGATTAGCTATTAATTAGCCTGTCTTTATTAATATAAAAACCGCATATTTTTTTAGATAAGTAAAATTCTACGTATTGATCAAGATCAGTCGTTTGTTATAACTAAAGTATTATTAAGATATCAGCTTAGGTATATTATTATTCCATATCAATATTATCAGGTAACAATCGGAACTAAGCAGCTAAGTTATCAATTTCCGCTAAATTGGTAGAGACCATAAAATTATACTTAGAGATTTTTATAACTGAATAATTATGCGATTTTGGATTTGTACATTGCATAATTTTGTAATATTGTAGGTTTGGTAACCGAAAGATGATTATCTAAAAATACGTTAATCTACCGGAACATAATTGCAAAATATTAAACGGCGCGTAATTGTTGAATACAAGTAGGTACTTAGATAAACCAGTAGCCAGTTAATTAATATGTTTGCAAACGAGTACATTTCCTAACTTGAATGGTAACAAATTAGGTACTTTTACGAAATTTGTAATTGGTTGGCACCAACTAGTGATATGAGTAGGTCCAGGTATACATGCAGTAATAGCTTAATTATCTAATTAAATTTTAACAATATTGAGCGTTGAAATTTTAAATTAATTAGGTAGAATGATACCTTAGGTAAACTACTAGTACTTAATGATGTTGATGAATCAATTAACTATTTTAAATCAATTATTTTAACTAGTACACTTGTTTAGGAAATTTTATTTGAATATTTCAATACTTATTTAGGAAATTTTAAGAACCATAATGCGACCTGTCAAATCTAAATTTTATATTATTTCATCTTGTATTTTTATGATTTTTTTTATCCACAACGAGGAAGCTCTTGGCCTGTATCTCACCTGATGGTAAGTGATGATCAGACCGAAGTGGAAACGAGCTTCACTCGGAATCCTCAACCACAGAGGAACTGGCTATCTTACCTCTAAGTGCCGGAACACAACAATGCTGTTAACATAGTTGTTATGGCGACAGACTTAGGTAAGATGGTGGTAGCTAGCCAGGCGGACTTAGAACAAGCCCTACCACCAACCAAATCGAACAGAAAAATCTGCTCCCACTGGGAATCGAACGCGGGACCTCTTACGTCTGAAGCAGGTGGTCTTACCACTAGACCACAGAGGCGGTTAAAAAGAGCATTTTATGGTAGGTAAAATGTCCTCTTCTTATAATTTTAAATTAACAACAAAAACTGGTCTTCTCACGTCTCTCTCATTGGTACCATTTCAAGGTGAGAGAATGACACGAATACATACAAAACCAGACTAGGTATCATCAAAATCAATTTGCGGAAGATATAAAATCAAGTTTTGGTTGTGTGATGATGTAACCAGTATTTTACCTGTGCAGTGAAGTCGGATGCGCCCTTAGGCGGAGCATTCTTGGAATCGCCTGCGACGAAGCCACGGCGCAACTCCTTTACCGACACGTTCTGCAAAACACGCGATAATTGTGATTCTGCCCAACACGATAAAAAAGACACAAAAACAAATTAATGTTGGCAAACCCTCCATAAGATTACAGTCTCACGGCACGGGTCAACGTACGGGACAGACTTGCATTCTTATGTTGCACTACGAAGGTTTATTTTAGTTGCAGAAATAGTATCTTGACTATTGTATAGAAAGGCAAAGCAGACTATTAAAATATCTGATAGTATCATCAGGTTAATACAAAGAACCAAGTGCGACATTTGAAATAGCCTACCTTTATCCATTAATCCGCCATATCAGGTATATTAAGCCCTTTTATTGCAACAGCATCATTCTTGAATGATATCGTAGTCTTGACTCATCAAATGAGGAAAGTCATAAATAACAATCAATGGGGATATTCTATGGATACGACAATATTTATGCGTCATTTTACAAATCATGATATTTCACATCATCATAAATATTGTTTTATATTGTTGTGATCGTATTATAACTACCTGCACAATGAGGATACTAAAAGGCAAATAGTGGGCGACAAACAATGCCATTGCAATTGTGTGCAATCCACAAAATGTGTGGAATCTCTGTTCCTGTTCTGGCCGCGCGAAGTTCAGTGTGCGTTGATTGATACCATTCATAACCTCGGCCTCCGTAGTAAGTAACCCTGAAAGACTTTTACAACAGTTGGTCTACAAGACTAGTCTAAAAGAACCTTGACGTTGAAGCCGACGTTATCCCCGGGCATGGCCTCCTGCAGCGCCTCGTGGTGCATCTCCACGGACTTCACCTCGGTGGTGATGGCCGCCGGCGCGAACACCACTACCATGCCTGGACAAACATTGGTACGATCAATCGAATAGGTAAGTCCACGTCCAAGAACAATTCGATAGTCCACCTACTAAGCATCCTAAAGTCCTAAACTCTAGTAATAAAATTGATGTAAAATATTATCGAATTTTATCTAAAGATGACTTGCTGAATGAGAGACAAAGTTGGACTGCATGTAAAATCGCATTTGACATTTTTATCTACATCTTGAATATTTTTCAAGACTTCTTGTAAGTCTCTCGTTCATACGAGTATGATGTACCGATATTCTACTTGTGCAGTAGGATCAGGAATTGTAAGACGACCTTACAATGTAGGCGGCATTATAAATAGTCTTTAACTCTATCCACATCACAGATTGGTAAGGCTGTTTTGCGAGAAATACTCTCGCCATTCCCTCCCACACCCATTCCAGATTATTCACTTTGGATTTGCTTGCGCAAAACTATGTAAGTACCCGCCTATTCCTAGTTATACGAGTACTTATAGTCCTTGCAATGTTTGCAAGCTCATTCGTAATCTTTTTGTAGAAAAACGTTTGTTAAAGTGAAAGAGCAGTGTTAACCAAGTGCAAGTTGCAACTAATGCTGCGGCAATATTTTGACGCGCAAGGTTATACCTACTGGGTCATCGACTGACCGCCCGGCAGTTAACTGTTTGCATACATGAAGAGGCCCGCCACATACGAGACTTTGACCGTAATTAGAAAATTAACCAATTTTTTTCCAAGGTATTTCACTCCCGATGAATGGTGAAAGAAATGGGATAGTTTTACGTTATGATGATGTTCAACTAGTGGTTGACATAGGACCCGATTTATGGATGGCATGACGCCACCGCTTTCGATCTTTATGAGAGGCTTTCTGGATCATGTCCAATATGGGTAATTATTTGCAAAATCATCTACGCGATAACGATAGAAACGAAAAAGCCCAATCTGAAATGGGCTGATCCTGCTTTGACCTTCCAAGTCGTCCGACAACAGACACAAATGTAGGTAAGTACCTATCGTTATCTTGAGACCTATATATGTACCTATTAAAAAGGGGGTCTAGGAATATGTGAATATTGAGTCGGTGGGGTGAATGTCGATCTTGATTCTTGATGCTGCAGCAGATCTACCAGCTCTCATCAACACCTCTATAGCTATAGGATTCTGGATTTATACAGCTACACTCGAAAATGCATTAAGTACAAGCAAATCATTCCATCCAAGTTCCCTACCTGGTTTGAGAATGCCGGTCTCGACGCGGCCCACGGGCACCGTGCCGATGCCGCCGATCTTGTACACGTCCTGAAGAGGCAGCCGGAGCGGCTTCTCTGTGGGGCGGGACGGCGGCTGGATAGCGTCCAGGGCCTGCACACAATAGGCGACTTGTACAGCAGAGATTCATCATCAACAGCCCTTTACAGTCCACTGCTGGACTATGAGCCTCCTCCACTATAGTGGAGGGTTTTGCCATAATCTCCACGCAGCAGAGATTACTTGGACATTATTGGACTTTGGGTATTATTATTTTTTGCAAATTGAAACCTGGGGCATTCGTAATGAGCACCTTAAATGCATGAGATCGTGCTTAAATTAAAACATCGATGCATCTATCTCGTCTTTAACTAAATAGAGAACTGATCAGCAGGGCTGTCTTTAACCTAGGTACTAGGGGCCCTGTCACTTAAAAATCTTCACATCTAGAAAAAGGTTCAAGCAGAGCGGCCGGGCCGCCTTGGTTGCGGAGCCCTGGACACGTGCTTAGTGGGAAAGAGCAGGGGTCTGCTGATCAGCAATTGCAGGGTAGCTTTACTCCTGAAAAATTATTGGTAGACCTTTACATAATCCCAATATAATGATACAAAGCCAGTTTACATGTAGGTACAAGTCTAGCTAAAGTCCTGGGAAAAAATGTAGGTGTAGGAAGATACAGAAAGCAAATATTTTTACTTACCTCAATGAGACACTTGCCCTCGACTTTGCCCTCCTTGCGGTCGATGGTCCAGCCCTTGAACCAGGGCATTTTGTCGGAGGGCTCGAGCATGTTGTCGCCGTGCCAGCCCGAGATCGGCACGAATGCCACCGTCGCCGGGTTGTACCCTGATGTCCAATTAGATGACAATTTTATCCGCTATGTTTATAATTTACCTAATTCCCTGAAATCCTACTTAGGTAGGCACACGTAATGTTACACGCTGTATAAATGGGTAAAGACCTCAGATCATAGAATGATCTGAGGTAAAGACAGTAGATGTACCTACCTATTAGAGAGGCTATTTTAGGAATACAGTAACAATTGAAACTGAACTGAAAATCTTTAGGGTTTTTGCAAGTTTTTCTTCTGCAGACTTTATAGACGTAAGGGGTAAACGCCTGATGGGTCATCTTCTATCTTAGTAGTGTGCCAGATAAGTCGTGATCTTGTAAAAGATCCGTTTTTAAGAAAAAGTAAGCCATAACCTCATTATTAGCATATAAATCTATGTTTACGTGTCGTAATCTTCATTTTAACCGCGTGATTGAGCAAGGCTTATCTTAATTCCGTAATGAGCAGAAACAAATCAGATTAGGCAAATTGCCTACACCATCATTGAAGCGCAATAATAACGTTAGCGTAAAATGTTAGAGCGTAAATAGAAGAGCCTGTAATTGACTTACCGATTTTTTTGATGTATGAAGAGACTTCTTTCTTGATTTCCTCATATCTGGCTTCGTGGTACGGAGGCTCGGTGGAGTCCATTTTATTGACGCCTACGATGAGCTGTTTGACGCCGAGGGTGAATGCCAGCAGGGCGTGCTCGCGGGTCTGACCGTTCTTGCTGATGCCGGCTTCGAACTCGCCGGTACCAGCAGCCACAATCAGCACGGCACAGTCCGCCTACGAAAGGTAAAAGACCTAAGTAAGCTCTAGGTATTTTTTAAGTGGACAAGGGACGCTATTATATAACGGTGGGACTTTCTGGAAGAATAACGAAGTTTGGTAAAGTTATAACTACCCACTTGAACAGATTTTTATTCGTTGCTCATGTGAACTCCGAAAGTAAAGGCGTCATGAATGAATGTGGTGTAGAAGAGATATTTGGTGAAGGAGATTAAATGAGGTGTAGTAAAAGAAATTGAGGTCCAAGTCGTGCGACAATTTTTTTCTATTTATTAATTTTTAAATTTCAATTTTAGCAGTATTTTTTTAAACACAAATAACTAGCTGCACTAATAGGAAAGAAGAGGAAGTGCCAGGCCAGGAGTCCAGGATTTTTATTTCGATTACAGTTACTAATGTATTATGTATTGTAGCTGGATGAAATTTTGGAATAGGTAGGTATGAAAATACATTTTAATTTTTAACCGGTTTATGTGTAAAATGCCTATTACAATTTAGGTACTACTCTAATGTTTACCGTTTTACATTTTTGGGAATTTAGGTGAATTATGAATGTTGCAATGTGACTTCAGTCAGCTAGAAAACAGTTTTCTTTTACACAATACAATTATGTAAGTTATTAATACATAACGTCGAAGACGCCCCTCTATGATGTAAGTTTATTAACACGTACACCTATCTAGTAGCATTAAATATACAGTACCTACTTACCTACTTATTTGTCAGCGAAGTAAATGATGTAAAAATCTAGCGCTTGAGTATAAAAACTAAAAACAAAAGAAAACATTGTTGCAGCGTTCAGCAGTGACTCCCATGGCTGCCAATATAGGTTAATTATGAGAATGAACCACAAAATCATTGTTGCACTGTTGTCAGTGCTTGAATATGACGACAAATCTTAGCATCAGCCACGGATCTACGTACGATATTTTCTAACCGAGCCAAAATTGTATTATGGCGCCCCCTCCCAGTTACCTTAAAAAGGTCGCAACGCGCTCTTGACTGATGTGCGAAATGTGTTCAAAAAACCAACTAGCCGTTTTAAAGTACCTAACTATAGATCCATTTGGCGCCCACCCCCTTAGCATATATCTAAATAATTGTAGAACTAACAAAATAAAAACAAGAGCTCACCTGCGAAGTTCCAGTAATCATGTTCTTGATGAAGTCCCTGTGGCCGGGCGCGTCGATAATAGTAACATAGTATTTGGCCGTCTCAAACTTCCACAAGGCTATGTCGATGGTTATACCACGTTCGCGTTCAGCTTTTAGCTTGTCAAGCACCTACAAACAACAAGTGAACCCTATAATGAAGTCCGCCAAAAAATTTAAAGCCCTAAAACCTATTTGTTCAATAAGTCCATAGTCAGTGGATGAATGAGAATACAACAGGGGTGCCTCAATGTCAAATTGTTATAGGAGGGCACGAAAGCTCAATGGGAAAAGCACAATCACTTCTCATCAGTGGTGGCTTACAGGGGTTTGTCATTCAAATACGACCCACAATTAGGATTTCGACTGAGATGAAGGGTAAAACATTCCGTATGATTATGGAATGAATACACTTATGAACTTCACCTTATATGAGTCTTATCCTTTTGTTAAAGTGAGACCGGTTCAATAATGGCACCGATTTATCTTATTTTTGCTATTCCTATTAGCAAGATAACTCGAGTCTTTAAAGGTCAAATAAAAGGTCGCGATCTTGAAAGTTCAAACGGTGACGTCATTGTCTGCTCTTGTCTACGTACCCAAGCATATTTGAACGAGCCTTTGCCCATCTCCTGGGCCTCCTTCTCGAACTTCTCAATGGTGCGCTTATCAATGCCGCCGCATTTATAGATCAAATGGCCGGTGGTGGTAGACTTGCCGGAGTCTACGTGGCCGATCACCACAATGTTGATGTGAGTCTTCTCTTTACCCATGGTGCCCACGTGTCGAACTCGATGCTAATCAACCAATCCTGGATAAGACGACATAATTTTATTACTAAACTTTCGATTCCCTAATCTACGCGTAAGGGCTAAGGGCGCGTCCTTCAGTGTGACTTTATCTCCATTCACATTAGGAACAACTTATTTGCAATCGAAATAATTTCTAAATATTACATCTAGCTGATTTGTGAACGCCTGCACAAATTAAAAGAGCTTTTATGCAAACCAAAGCGTGTCATACGGAAGCTCGGAACAAATCGAATCCACTGAACTTTTTATTCATAAGCGTAAGTTTCTCTCGTTAACACGCCGGTCTATTAAACATTTTGTTTTAAATTAACACTCCACCATAAATGTGATAAATCACCAAGAAAATCTGTTTCACCGGTACCGATACGCCTGAATCGCATCGGATGCACTTCGACAAAGTTCACCTGCGATGTAATTAGTCCCAATATTCCGAGAAGAGTTCGCCCAGGCCCGGGCGTGCGCATAGGATGTCCGGACATCGATACAGCGAGCTAATCCTTCCAAATATAGACAATTCCTAACGCTTGCCTTCACAAATCTCTTCATAGGTACGCCTCAATAAATTACATCGCTCAAGTGAACATTAAACTTCTTCGCCATAATTACCTATCGATACAGTATAGCAAAATCCTAATTTACTCCTCAGGTAAGAAGCAAAAACAAAAGATTTATAGCTACAATACATAATACAAAGTTAACAAAGTACCTAATATGACGCAAGTATCCACAATACGGCGCAATAAAATTATAATATTCTCAAAATGAAAGGATCTTAGGTGGCATCAGAGCCAATTGTTTCAATAAATGATAATAATCACAAAGGAGACGACAGTGCATTCATTCTTAAATTAGACTGATCTATAGAAAGTCGAGAGCACTTGGATGTATTTGCAAGACATGTTTCAAAATTAGAATAATCACATGTCGCAGTATGCTGTGTATGGATGTATCGGCAACGCACATGGGCTTCCCGGCGCGCGTCCATCTTGTGCATGTCTGCACCTAGATGTTTCGATCTTTGTTTAACATTACACTGTAACCATCTAGCCTGAGAATTGTATCTTCACCAATCAAGCTCAGGAATTCCTAGCTTTTGCCTTATGGTAGGTATTACAGTTTAAAAATGGCAACGTCGTCGCGAAATATTTTACAACAAAATAATAACATTCTATTGATAGCGTCAGACTTTTATATACTATTAACCATGGGAAAATACAATTTGTTCGATAAATCTACAGTTATGCTTACTTGGGCCAAAATAAATTAAAGCACTACCTAGTACGTCGAATTCTAATTTCACCAGTTTGTCAAAAGTATTGTTTTTCTGTCCATTTGATTATTTCAACAAGTTTATCGAATATTCGTTATTTAAAACGCTCTTAGCATTAAATTGCTAATAAATTGCGTAATTTGAAAATGTTCTACCGGCAAATTTTTAGCCAGAGGGTGAACATGTGAAAATGAAGAAAATGCCTTGCAAATATAATTTTACATGCAACTTTTATGTTCTCATCGCTAACAACAATGCGAAAACATTAATTAGGCTAATATTTAGTTTTTTCTCAATAAAATAAAGGAAAAGCTTACCCTTTGCTGCACAGTCAAGAATTTTCCGAGCGATTCAAGAGCATGCGCTGTGCGAACTTCGCCTGGGAAAATGCAATCAATAAAATCAAGTGTCAGTCTCTTTTTACGAAATTTACCCCGAAATAATCTTTTTACATGAAAAAATACTTTTAAAATGTAAGAAAATAAAGCAGGACGATTTTAATTTACAATTAACTTAGATAGTTGCAGAGTAAATTAATTAATTACAGCGTTGCGACCGGATACAGCGGTACTTTTCTTTTTCGGTGCATACGTTTTCAGGGCGTATAGCGTTTTTCAGCCAGGAACGACATCGATTCAGTAGGCAATGGAATCGATTTAGAATATCTGTAAATCTATTTTATTGCGATGTTATTCAGCTACCGCGAAATAAAATAATGCATACATATAAATTAATTACATTAATTTATATTGAGACCGAGTCTTTCGTTAGAGTACAGGAACAATGTCATTTAATATAAGTTGACATCGACCTTTGCTTTTGGTAGATAAGTTAAAAAAAATAAAGGCGTCAAGCACAAAAAAATCTTTTGGCGGGAAAGACTTGGGATGTACCATGTCAATGATCGCATTTTAAAACGAAAACAAAATAAATTTTATATGTAAGTAAACTTATCCATTTGAAATGCTGTAACTGAGGTCTGTGAGGTTCTTTTTAACTTAGTTATGCCAGAGTTCAATCTACAGTTTGCGTCATTGCAGACTTGATAATACCCCAATCTTGGACCCCAATGTTAAGGTAATGCTAGCCTAACGGTAAATATTCTACAAACAGTATAGGTCACAGGACTTACAGATGGATACAACAAGGTAAGTATGTATTTAATATAGTAATTCTTGTACTAATATTTTGGCTTGACATTGGGGTCATTTGGGTAGGTTACCTACCCAAAAATGATCTACCTACCGTAGGTAGACATTAAAGTGTACATACCTACTTAGGTAGGTACTAGTGCCCGTTTTCACCATCAATCCCTAATTTTTAAGTGACCTCTATGGTAACAAATAACAGGAATTTTGCTGTCAAAGGGGTCACTTAAAAATTAGGAATTGATGGTGAAAACGGGCATAGGCCTTCTTTTGCGTAGGCAAATGCTTTGCGCATACCCACTACTAGGCCTAACTTGTAAAAAACTCTAAAACTCCATACAAATCACCGGTTATTGTTTTAGTTACGATTAAAGTTTAGTGGTGCAGCTCAGTTCGTCCGTTTCAGCCAAAAGATGTCCACCGCTGGACAAAGGCCTCCCCTAAGGAATTCCACAAAGACCGGTCCTGCGTCGCTCGCATCCAGGCACCTCCCGCTACCTTCACCAGATCGTCAGTCCACCTAGTGGGAGGCCTGCCAACGCTACGTCGCGGTCGCCACTCAAGAAATTTCCTGCCCCACCGGCCATCAGCACTACGAGCTATGTGCCCCGCCCACACTGCCATTTGATTTTAGCGATTCTGCGGGCTATATCAGTCACTTTGGTACTCCTACGGAATAATCACCTCATTTCTTATTCGATCGCGCGGACCTTGAGGCTTGCAGCTCAGTATTAAAATTAAATAAATAACGGACTAATTCTATTGGGAAAGGGTTTTTACCTGAAGCCTTTTGGGTGCGTGGGTGTAATAAAAATCCTTATTAACAATTTTAAAGAAAATTTATTTAATTCATATATTTATACATATCACCGTGTTTGTTATAATTATCTCTTAAATATTTAAATTTATTTATTTACTACATTCATCAAAATATTAGTACAAATAAATATAAGCATGTAATAATAATAATTTATGACAAGTATGCAAAGGCAATGCATTCGAAAACATTTTGTAATTTATTAAGTAAGGTAAAAATGAATGGCTCATTATAAATGTTTGTATAGAATTAAACAATTGATTCGCAAGCACTGCAGAGTGGTATTGCTTGTTCACAGTATACAAACCGCGAGGGGTTTAGATGTTTTCAGAGAACCGCTTTATATGGTTGAAGTGAAGTAAAGATCGTAGGGGAATCTATAGTAAGTTTTAATCCTCCTACATGTCGATCTTGCTTTGGGTAATATGCATATTATAAAGTGGAATGTGAACAAAATGTAGCGACGTATTTCGTAAACAAGAACAACGAATGCTATTTTAAAAATAAATTGCTTAATAAGCTCAATGCAACTCTAAAGTAAAAAACACTGCGTCAAGTGTTTGAGCATCTTAAATAATAAAAATAGATAGTTATCAAAGACTCGAAAATATTAGGTAGGTACCTGTAGTTAAGTAAAACTTAATTAGCGTTCGCGAGCGGGTGTTGCAGTAAGATTTTGGAATGTTGTTTATAATTATATTTAGTAGCAATATTTGCAAACAAGTTTATAATGAACATAATAGAAAAGAAAATATGTTTTCAATTAACTTTTATGTGACAACAATACAAGTAATTGCTTAAACCGCAGACACATTTAATATGTATAAATGTATTTTTCCAAAAACATTATGTCAAATGTACCTAACTTTTATAAAATTAACTTGATAGACGCAATTAAATCTACATAATTAAAGTGAAACTATTATTAGAATTATTAGATTGAGGTTGTTTGATTGGAAACTTTGATGTTATTAATACTTTTACGACTTTTGACAGATTCACGTAAGAACACTGATTTTTATAAAATGCACCATTATGCATGACCAAAATGTAATTTAATAAAATATTGTACAGGCTGGTTTTGAGATGATGAAAACCCTTAATCACTCGATGGGAGGGTCATTGAAACAATACAAATAGGTTTGACAATGTGAAAATACCATTACGCAGGTATTCTATTAGGGCATTATTTCTTAACGTATGGTCCGCAGCCTTATTATCAACTAGCGGCCGCCCGCGACTTCGTACGTGGGGATCCCGTTGTTCCATCTCAAAAACACGCTGTATAATTTAATCACAGTCTATCTTAAACATGTTATATCACGAATCATTTTCCACCGGGCCACGGCAGATAGCTTCCCCAGCCTTTACTTGGATTCGGATCCAATCCTGGAAACAAAGAAAAATAATACGTATGAGATTATTATTAAGGTTAGATTTTACGTACCCGATTCCGATTCATCTTTTTCATGCCGCATATTATTATATTTAAGAGGGATTTGCGAAAACGCAAATGCGTTTTTCATTTGTCGAGCATGCAATCTCAGGTAAATGTCGATGCAAAATAACAAACTTACCCTTAGCTACAGCGTGGACCTTGTTGGTCTCATCAGGCGTGAGGGTCAGGATCTTCTGCAGCACGGGAACGAGGCGGCTGCGCTCGTCTCCAGGCGGGAGCGTCAGGAACTGTCATCAGTCAATAACATTTGGCAAAATCATCGGAAAAGCAGCTGGATATTATTATTTTTAAATTACCACACCTGACTATACAGGGTGTTAGGTAAATGGGTATATGAGCCGACACTAGCCCATGTTAACATGGTCATATAAATGGTATGGTGAAGTCAGAAAATTGATATCTTCATTTTAATTATTTTATTTTTCATACAAATCAGATTTTATCAAATTAATTTTGTATGAAAATTGAAAAAAAATAAAAATGATATCAAATTTCTGACTTCACCATACCATTTATATGACCATGTTAACATGGGATAGTGTCGGCTCATATACCCATTTACCTAACACCCTGTATAAAAAAAATGGAAGTCTGTCAATCATTTTTTCTAAGAAATATGGTGTATTTAATTTATTGATTTTTCTTATCAAATGCAGTCGACAGCTCATCTGACTATATGCATAATTTTTTGCAAAATACTACTTTAAATACACTTATTACCACTACTTTTGAAGCATAGCAAGCATGCCTAAGTTTAGCTAGCCGCGATATCTGTACATATTAAAGTTTGTTATCAAGATGTTTCACTTACCTTAAATTTAAGTGAGATTTTAATGTAAAAAATGTTTGCAAATACATAAATTTTTACCAGTAATTGCATTTTACCAGTATTTTATCACTCACCAGGTTTTCGTTACCCGAATGTGTGTATTAAATGCAATAAAAATAAAATTGTTTTCAGACTGAAGCCACGTATCTCAGTTACTTCATGCAGCTCTTAGAGTCTGCAGCGCCAGGTTAAAAAATATACATATTGCTTTGTATCTTTGCAGTTTCCGTTGGCGTTACCTATCATATTAGCGGCTTAGTTCCAAGTAGATTAGAACCTAGTCTAAAAATAGACTTATTTACAGTGCAATTAGTAGATTAGTGTATCTTTATAAGTAGAATGTTTAAGTATTTTATCTTGAAAATTTTCCCAAATTCCGAATATATTACTTTCTCGTTTCATCTATTTTCACTTGAACCTGGCAAGAAGCATAGCAAAGCCACAAGAAAAAAAAATGTCGTGACATTGTGACTGTGTGATGGAGTAGATATAGGTAAGTAATGTGCCAGAAAACAAGAACAATTTTAACTCGACACTGGCAAGAGGCATAAGCGTAGCCATAAAAAAACCAGAACCATGAAGAAAAGTCAGAAATAAAAAACAGTCTTTCTCAGATCGAAATTTCCGCATATAACTCCCAAGAACATTGAAAATACGTGACTCATTCTCTATAGCTTTGCTTTTAGACTAAAAGTAAACCTAACTAAAAGTTTTAGTTCAGGTAATGTTAGTTAAAAATAAGAAAATGAAAATTACAAAAGATTTTGAAGAAGAGTTCTGTACAACCCGATCGAGTTAACTGCGCACCTGGCAGCCGTGACGTCACATCGACGCTTTGGTACGGACGGGGCGAACGCGGGGAGGGGTGCGGGTGAATGCGAGGGAGAGTCGCAATAGACAGTTTGACACCATACCCAATAATTCGAAACCACAAAACTGTTTTAAAAAGACTCTTCATTCTGGTCTTAAAAACCTAATTTATTTTAAATTACCTGTTTTCGATTGTTGTTCGAATTGTAATTGAAAAAAGTAGTTTAATTGGGTTGACAAAATAGTGACGTCACTTGCTTGTAGTGCCATACAAAATCTATGGGAGAGTTTCGTTTTGACAGTTTTAAAAAGTATGTCAGTTGACTGTGGTGTCTACATGTCTATTCGCAATCAATCGGGTTGTATGAAGAAAATCTCCAAAGTCGTAAAAGTTGTATCTAAAAAGAAGAACCTTGAGCGTGACGTTCTTCATGTACTCAGCGTTGTGCGCGCCGTGCGTGGAGCCGTGCGCGCGCCGCAGCTCGGCCTTGAGCAGCTCGCTCAGCTGCGCCATGCGCGCGCACTCGCGCTCAGACTCCGCCAGGAGGACTGTCACGTGCTTCACTCTGCACAAGACATTAATAAGTTAAAGTAAAACTCAAAAAATCCACAGTAGTCATTATAGATGACCCACGCTGAACTGTCCCACCAAACTCAATGACAGGGGGGCGCTACCATCGTTCAACTATATGGTTTCCAACATGGCAAAAATCGGAACTAGCGATCCGGTATTGACGGTGGCGCCCCACTGTCAATGTCATGCATAGGACAGTTCAGTATTTTGGAACTATATCAAATAGTGACACCCAAAATGGCCAAAAAGATGACAGCACTTAATTCTAATTGTAACAAAGACGTGTTGCGAACTTATTGGCTTTTTGGCTAGACGCTGACTGTACAATTTATCAATATCAGACAGTCATAGGCAACAGCAGGTCATAGGTCCACCGTATGGGAATCCTGCATACATTACATACCTACATGGCCCGCAAGATGCTGATATTCTTCAACGCCTCATTATCCGGAACTCTTTCTTCGAGCAACCGTTCCCGAGACATACATAACCTATTTCTGTATCACGCTACCTACCTCTGCTGTTGTGTACCCAGTCGTCTTCTCAGATCGGAGATCTCCTGCTCCGGCGTGAGAGCTAGGCTTGTAGCATCCAGCGCCTCATCATCCGGGACTCCCTCTTCAAGCAAGCGTTCCAGGGACACGGGCGATCGCCCGCTAGCTCCCGTTAAGTACGGCTTAGATGGAGGTGGCGAGGGGGCTGACTCTGAACCCTGGAAAATAAAGTCAGATGTTTAATGGTACACCTTAAATTCGAGGTCCTTAATAATGCCATTGAAACTAATGGTACAGTATCTTTACCTCTCCCTCTTCTCTAGGTATCATAGAAACATTGATGTCCATTTCACCATCGCTGCCTTCTTCTTTCGGTATAACCGGCAACATGTACTGGTTGTGGTTCGCTTCGTCCAGCCTCAGGTTGCCAGGAACCGTTTTGGCAGCCTCTTGAGCTGCCACTAGCTGCTTTTTGAGAAGCTCAGTTTCCTTCTGCAGTTTTGATTCCAAATCGCTGATTTGAGTTTTGTAACATTGTGTTAATGTTGAGACCTGAAAGTAACATTTTAAAATATAATTAGACGCATTGCTTGTTACCCAGGATCAGGTATTAATCTACAGGAGGCACTCAATGCATTGATGCTCGCGCCACGCTTCACCCGTTGTCTCCTCCGTACTGCCTTTACTCCCTTCCATTTTTTCTGTGTTGCGCGCCCTCGAAATCAAGCTGGAGCGAGAAGTGTGTGTGAGGTCAGTATGCAGGAATGCGGTGCATTGAATCTCGCACAACTGCTTTATTATTCAATCTCCGCATCATTAGCCATCTGTATCCCTGAAGATAGCACATATTTACCTGTACATTCGTGCCGGTGCAAGAGTCGTGTGCACTTTATCTGCTTCTTTCTCGCCCTTATTCCACCTCCACATTACTGGTCATGTACCTTGGAGACTCAATTTACCTGTAGATTATGCTGTGCGCGCTCTGAGTCTAGCTGATGTGACAAGCGCGTAAGGTCGGCCTGCAGACGTGCGGTGCGCTGGTGCGCGCGCGCCGCTTCGCCAGACGCCTCTGCTGCGCGTCGCCGTGCCGCCTCTACTTCGCTGGTCAATTCAGAGCACTGCTCCCTAGCAACGCGATGAGGATTGAGTATGCGAATGATAATGAGAATGCGTATTGTTATAGATCGTTTCATCTACGAAGACGCGCCCCACCATTCTTCCGCTATTGTTTGAGTGTTATCGGTACACACTAAATTATCCATGAGTTCACACGCACACTACAATAATGACGCTCGGATTGCTTGGATCAAACTTCCCACACCCCGCGCTTTCCTCGACCTAAATTGGTGGGGCGCGTCTTCGTTGATGAACCGATCTATAGAAATGCAAGCATTTATCTTTTTCTCTTTAGTAGATAAAAAAGGGTTTGGTGAAAGACCCAAACCAGCAATGGTTTTATAAAAGATTAAAAAAATAGAACAATAACGACAAATAAATGATAAATACTCTGATAAACAAGTAAGCAGAATATTCTATTGAATAAATCTTACTGTGCAGTGGTAAGTTTGGCTGTTATCGCCTCAATTTGAGCCCTAAGAGCAGCAGTTTCTTCTTTCAGTTGTTCTTCCTGACTATGGTCCACAGTTTGGTTCTGGCGAAGCACAGCTTGAGCTCTTACCTGATCACAAAATATTTAAATGGAATCAAATTGTACTATAATTTAAAATCAGAGTCTTTTAAAATAAAACAAACTCACCTTGTAACTTGTATATTCCGTCTTCAAATCTGCCAGTTCAATATTCGTAATCCTCAATGTTTCATTGAGTTCTGCACATTTGAACTCTAATCTCTTAACTTTGTTGTTCAACTCTATTTTTTCATCACCCAAGCTCATTATTACTTTTTCTTTTTCGCTCAGAACGGCGGTCATTTCCAAATCGGCCTCTTCATTCTTTCTTTTTTCGTCTTCTAAATCTTGTTCTAATTTTGAAATAACAGAATTTTTATTTTGAATCACATCGTCCTTCTCTTTCCCCTCCTCTATAGCACGTTGCAGCTCTTCTTTAGTCAGTCTTATCTGAGTTTCTTCTGCCTTGATTTGATCTTCCAGTAATTTTATTTGAGTTTTCATTGCAGTTATTGTGCCTTCTTGGGTATCAATTGTGGACTCCATCTGCAAAACATAAGAAAAACCATTCTCAAGATCAACTAAAAAGAAAATATATTTACATCCTCACTGAAAATAGCTTGTTAATTACCTGCACCATCTTCTTTTTCTTTTCTTCCATTTTTGATGTGAGTTCTTTCATAGACCTCTCATAGTCTTCCATCTCTAAACTTAAAACATTTTTCTTTTTAGCATCACGACGAGCTTTCTCTAAATTATCTTTTGTTATCTTATGAGCTTCAACTTCGGCGGTTAATTGTTGAGTCTTAGTCTCCAATTCCGCTAAAATTACAGAAAAGAAAAGTTAAATAAAATTAAAAATACATATAATAAAAAAAATACTGATAATAATTTACTTTTCAACTTCTCCAACTCAGCTGTAACGTTTTCTGAAGCCTCAACGGCTGCAGTTAAAGACACAATTTTTGCTTGAAGATCGGAAATTTCGGATCCCTTACATCCATCTACTTCATCACTACTACTTGGCAGTGATACTTTTTCGTTATCATTTAGAAGCTTTTCAAGTTTTGCTTTATCTTGTTCTGCATTTTGTAACTGGTTAACAGTTTCGTTTAGTTTCTTTTTGAGTTTTAATGCAAATAGTCTGAGTTTCGTGTATCTGGAATAAATAGTAAAATACGGAATATCTGTAACTGTGAAAACTTAATATATAATACATTTGTGTACTTAGCTTTCGGTTATAACTTACTTTTCCTCAAATGTTTCATCTAAATCTTTCATTCTAGAGTGTTCTTCTGCTTTTGAGATTGTAGACGTAGACATATCTTCGTTTGGAAGTTCTGCAACAAAATATTTATATCGCGTTTTATTTTTAAACCCTATTTCTTCTATTGAGTGGAACTATGAGTGTTTTATTTACTTGAATTTGTTTATCACAAAGTTCAAATACAGCTTCAAAAACATACCTGAAGTTGTAGACTGTTGCTGCTTCAGTCTATCTATTTCTTCTCTTAATGAAGCAATTACCGCTTCTTTCTCTTCTAGGGATTTCATTGCGTTTGCCTTTTCAATAAGATGGTTTGCAGCTTCTGACTGTGTCTTGTTTGTATTTTGTTCGGCGTTCTGTAGATCACTTTCTAAAACGGAAACTTTTTTCTGCAGGTCTTCTTTTTCTTGATTTATTATAACTCTGTCTTTTTCTAAGGTTTCAACTAGTCTCTCCATTTCTGCTATTGCTTTTTGTAATTTTGAAATGGACTCGCCTCGTTCTTTCAGCACTTGATTTATTTCTTTCATTTCATTTAATAATTCTGTATTTTCAGTTTTGTAACCTGAGAGTTTGGATTTTGCATCGTCATATTCTGCAGCGAGATTATCGAATTCTTTTACTTTGGCGCGAGATTCTTTGACTTCTGCAAGGAGAGATGCATTCTCTTGCTTGTAAGCTGACAGTTTTGTTTCCAGTTTTACTATGTCAGCTTGCAGAGAAACATTAAGGTCTGACAAATTTTCATTATCATCAGGTCTAGGTTGTTCTAATGAGAGTTTAAGTGTATCCACTTCCTCTTTTAGTAACCCATTCAAATCTTGCAAGTTATCATGTTCTTTTTTTAATAAGTCATATTGTTCTTGAAGGACCATCATGTTACACTTGAAGTTAGTAGTTTCACTCTCTTTTTCAGATTTATATTTTTTTTCTAAGACAGTTTTTTCTTGCTGTAATCTGTCATATTGTGCTTTAGTTTCTTGCAAATCTGATTTCAACTTCTCCAGTTGATCGGATAATATTTTATTACGATTTTCAAGTTCAATAACATTGTCCCTTGCATTAAGTTTTTCTTTGACCAACATTGACTTTTCACTTTCCAAAGCCTTCATTTGCAATTGCAAATTTTCCACAAATTCTGTGTTTACTGCTGTATTCATTGATTTTTTAATGTCTTGATTTTCATTTTCCAGTTTATCCACTAAACTGGATAGTTCACTGACTTTTTGGACTGATGATTCATATTTGTTTTGCATTTCATTTATCTGCGCTGTTAGTAAAATAATTTTATTTTCATCAATCTGCCTCTGTGATTCGACTTGATTTAAATCTTGATACATTGCTTTCAATTTATCAAGCTCATCACTAAGTAAAGATTTGCCCTTCAGAGTGTTATTCATTTGAGCTTGTAAATCAGATAACTCTGATTGCAATATTGAATGACTGTCCTTTAATTCTGATACCTGAGATATTTGCTTTTCTAACATTTCATCTGATAATGCTTTTGATTGTTCCATATCATTGAGCTTCTCTTTAAGAGCAGTATTTTCAGTCTGCAGTTCTGCAAACTGGGTGTCATTTTGTTCAGATTTTAATCTGTTTTCTAATTCCAGTACTTTTCTTTTTAATGCTGAGTTCTCATTATTTAATTCATTTAATTGGTCATCTAAAACCTTAGAAGCCTTAATGATATCATTTTGCCATTTTGGGATGTTTTCAGAATATTCTTTTATAGTTTTAGTAAGAATAAATCTGGAATTTTTAAGTTGATTAATACATGTAGCACATTTAAGTATTCTATCTTTATAACTGCGCAATTTGATATTAGCTCTTTCTTTCTTATTTTTTTCAGACTCATACAACTGTGTTATTTCTTTAATCTTATTTTCATAATCAGAATTAGTATTATTTTCCTTAGTATCCAAAGCAGCTTTCAAATCATCCTCCAACTCTTTGATTCGTTTGTTTAGATTTTCTATAACATTTTTAGATTCTTCTTCTGAAACATAGAATAACTTGAGTTAACTTGTTTCCTTAAAACAAGTTCAGGGTCATTCCATCGTTTCGGGTGTTACGTTCGTACACATATATTCAACAATTTCTTGTATTTTGAAATAGTATTTTAATAATGTTAGTGCCTTAATCTGTCCGTTTTTAGTTGTTTTATCTAAATAATAAAGTTTGTACAGCTTAGAATGTAGGATAACGAAAATATGAGTCGAAAAGTGTGCGTTTCGGGCGTTACGAGATTTTGCCTCTATGTTCTGACTGTTGCTGCATTTACTCGAAATTTAGCGAATTTTCTTAAGGAATCATACCTAAAACTTACAGGACTTCTAAAGTATGAAATTTACAAACCATGTAACATACAATCACTGTTACATATAACGTTTTACTATTTTTTTATAAATTTTTTCTTTGTTTCGGGTGTTACAGTGGTTCTGTTTCGGGTGTTACGAGTACGAAAATTCAACGTGCTTTATCGATAAAATCGGTGTTTTATTAGTCTCTAGGTACTACGAAATAAGGAGTACAACAAATAAACACAAATAGAGCGAATTCTGGTTTGAAATTATGTAGCAGCTTTTTTTAAAAAATATACAAAGTTCAAGTTTATTTTTTCCTCAGAATACAGCTTTTTCTATTGTTTTTGGCTTGAAATAGCATTACTTTAATTTCTAATTACGATATTTATTGGAAATGTCGAACATGGAAGCTTTTATACAATACTTTAATTTTAGTGTTAAGTCGACATTTCAAAAAAGTCATAAATAGAGAAATATGACTCCTTTTCCGATGCCAGCGCTAGTGGGAGGTCGAAGGAGCCTCACAGTAATACTTTTTGACTTCTCCAAGCAATATATACGCGTTATCGACAATAAATAAAAATGTGATACCCAAAACGTTTCGGGTGTTACAGTTTTTAATCAAGAAAAAAACATACTAAATTAGTATCAAGCTCAAATATTAGTTAGTATTTGAAATCATTACTACCATGACCTTACTTTTACCAAATATTGTTATCCTAATCCATGTGTAAGGTACAATAATAAAACAAATACCTGTTTTTTTTGTTTCGGGTGTTACATCGCCGAAGTAACAAGAAAACACACTTAAAACTTGATGATTATCAATTTTTTTGGGACTATGACGCTATCTACCAATACTATGATAAATACCCTCAAATCATATAGTGGCAAAACGGTTCACAGATTGATAGTTTTTTTTAAATCGTATTACCAATAATAAGAGAGAAAATGATCATTCAAACAGTTGACTTAAGTATAGACTTTGAAGACTAATAACTTAAAAATTACTTGTTTCTTCCAGATTTTTTTTGTTGCACATTATAATTTGGAATGTTTACTTTCAAAAATCATCAGATTTAATGCGAAAAGAACATATTTTGTTTTTCACCCTCGGTAACATTTGTCATGGAATGACCCTTCAATAAAAATAAACATTTACACTTTTCACTCCAGAATTCTTATTATGTTATCTTTAGCGGAGATATGCAAGATACAAACCAAATAAACAAGCAGAATAACTATCTTCTTACCTGAATAAACCTTATCCTCAAGCATTTGTAGTTGCTTTCTTTGCTCCAAACCAATATTGTTGAACTCAACTGTTTGAGCTTCCAGTTCAGAAAGTTGATTGATAAGTTGTTCATTTTCCTCTAAGAGCCTGTTGTTTTGTCTCTTCAAAGATATAATTTCACTGTCAAGATCGGACAACTTTTGTGCTGTATCTGCAAGATTTTTATCTCTAACAATAACATCTGTTTTGTATTTATTTATTTCCTCCTCATAGTCTTTGCATTTGATAGTTAATGTTTTAATTTTTCCCTTAGCTGAATCAACTTCTGTTATATAATTTAGTTTTTGTTCAGTCAAAGAATCAACAAGTTCCTGGAGAGTATGAAGGCTGTCCAAGTTAACTTTTTTTTCTGTTTCACACTTATCCAGTTGTAATTTGTAACTCTCAACTTCATTTTGCATTTCTGTAAAATAAAAAAGTTAACTTATGCAGTTTGATCCACTTAGTAGCTGTTGTTGTTATCTATAAATGAATTGATGTTCGTTAGCCTGATTAAAACTCAAGAACGGCTGGGCCGATTGAGCTGATTTTGGTTTTAAAATGTGTCGTAGTCCAGGGTAGGTTTAAACGGTGAGTAAATAGGCGCGCGATATTGTTTTTCTGTGACACACAAAATTCCACGCGGGCGAAGTCCGATTTATTTTTAACAGAAAGCTAGTTAAACATAAATCAGTATTAGTTTACCTGTTTTGGCTTGCTTAGCCTTTTGGGCTATAGCAAGTAAAGCCTTGCATTTCAATACCAGTTCATCCTTGCTCAGCTCTTCAAAAGGATTCCTTTTCCCTGATACATCAGCTGGGTTCTAAGAGAAGAGAATTTAGAATTAAAGTAACAATAGGATTAAAAATGTAATTATAGTAGTTATAGAAAATGACATTTTGTATTACACATAAATCATTTTAGATAAGTACATTTATTATCATTCCAAAGCTTTGAATGTGTGTTGAAATTTAGTGCCTAGCATATCAATGCAACTATTTGTCAATATCCAAAATGATGCTAAAAAGTTGTCGTACACTGATAGTAGAATGAAGAATGTAAGTATGTAATAATTAAGTAAATTAATAAGTTTGTTTATAACTATTATTACCATAGCTTCTGAATGACTTTCCATTTTGGTGATTATATTATTTCCACAATTGTACGAAGGCTTAAGCACAAAGAGCAACGTAGTATTTTGACACAGTTCTCATGGTAAATCTTATTTTCTCTAGGAAAATAGAATATATCCTGTGATCTAAAAAAATCACATCACAAGTAATTCCACAAGTACAGTCTCCCAAATTTTGACATTGACATAAATGTGACAGTAAACGTCACTGTCACATCCGAAAGGCTGATCCAATTCAATAAACATTCAATTGAATATCATATAGGTATTTCAATTAAATAAAAAATATCGATATATAGAAAAATAGCGATCCGGCCCGGGTGCCAAGCATCAGAGCCCCGATTTTACCCTAATTTTTCAATACAGCGCTTCTTCGATTTCTTCAAATCTGCGATACGGATTTGTCAAAACAGCTGATGTTCGTTCGTCGTCAACAAAATGACAACGTATCTATGTCACGATACGGGTTACGATTACGGTACGATTGCGATTAGTATTTTGGTATCATAGCCCATGACTTAGTACTAATAACATCTGACGACGTCTTCGAAAACCTTCAAAAATCATGGGGGGCACCAGACCATTCTGAGTAGCTATATGTATTAAAAATAAAAATATTTTCTTGCTACAAATAATACGTCGCGTAACATTTCCAGCAACTACTATTTTAAGTGTTTTATTGTTATAATTTTTTTTAGCTTAATTTGTAGCACCTGCACAAGGTCAGCTGGGAGAGAATGCCATATGGCATTAAGCTCGCCTTTTTGTACAAATCATTCTTATGCGTATGAACTAAGCCGGAAATATTAATATCACACTCATGATACTATTATGACCAATTGAACTATTAATATTATTCAATTGTTTTTGTTTATAGTCATGATTCTTGGAAACACTAGACCATAGTGTAATGGCGGCTCTAGTCATCGCTGCTATTCTTTCATGTGTGTGAATGATAAAATAATTTAGTTTTTGTAAAATTTGTGTATTTATCCGTGACATATTTATTGAAATGTAACAAAAATATAAACGTGCTTGTTCATTTATTATTTTGAAGACCTTATTTTCCCTTAGGTAAGTAAAATCTAGTGTTTAGTCCACAAATTTTGTCGCATTCGCAAACCTTTGCGGGGCGCGTCCATGAGTAATATTGTGGTTTACTTTTTATTCTTGTGAATGGATAGACAAGCTACACTGTGATTTGTGCCCCCTTGACCCTTTTACATGATTTTGAATAGGAGATGTATTGATAGAATGTAGTCCTTACATTGAGGACAGGTTTGAAACATTCTGGTTATATCCTAAGAATTTCTTTACTACTCAAACTGAAAGTGTTATAAATAAACAGTTAAAATTGGTATACAAGTTCAGTCTCAGTGTATCCAGAATAATATGTATCCAGATAATAACAATGAATGTCAATCATACAATCATAATTTCTAAATATGTGTTTCTATTTGCAGAAGGGCAATAAATAAGCAGGATGTCGAGTGATGAGGACAAACCTCCTGCGCCTCCTGTGCGCCTCACTAGTAATAGAGCCACTGACCGAGGGGACTCTGTGGCATCAGTGGACATGAGGCCACTGCCAAAAGGTATTGAGCATCTCAATAGTGTCTTATTCAATCATATAGCAGCACAACACTTACATACCATAAGATTTTAACAATAACTTGTTGTATATTCATATGGCACTACCAAAACTTTTGGTTTGTACCTTATTAGTATGCTACCAGTAACTCATTGTGCTCCAACTTTATTAGTGTCAACATATATTTTATCCAATTGTTAATTGAATCATAATTTCTCTTTCAGAACCTGATGATAGTGGTGATAGAAAAAAGAAAACACTAAAAGCAAAAATTAAAGGCTCTAAAAGTACCGCCCATAATGATAATAAACCCAATATTAGCTATCCAACAAATTTTGAGCATACTGTGCATGTGGGATTTGACGCAGTGACTGGAGAATTCACAGTGAGTATCTATAATTATGTTAGTTATACAACATTGATTAGAGATTAACACAGTGTCTGCATAAACCAAATGTTTACTTTGCACTTTTGGAAAAACCCATGACACATCACACTGCCTTGATGCAATCTCAAGCCACCCCTCTGAATTTTCAAATACCTATTACTAAATCAATATAGACACATGTTCCTGTAGGGCATGATGAATACTCATTCATTTATGTCATTATTATTCAATACAAATATTACAATAGTGACCAGTAAAGGAACAAATTATTCATTACTTAATCTAGACATCATTAGGTTGATATTCATTTAAATATCTATAGAAAATTAATTTTCATATTAGATGATTCATGTGCACACCCACTTTGATATTACCAAAATATCTTGATACCTGTATTGTTCCCGTGGATGTTGTCACAATTATCAAGATTTATTATTGATACTAATCTTCAAAAAGATTTCGTTAAAAAATCTCAGCTATCAAATGTGCAAAATTTGGTTATGCCTTTACACAGTGCCTTATAGCTGCTTTGCTTTCTTTTGCAAGCTACATATTGATATACCCATATTTTATTTCGTTTCTTTTTAGTATTAGGTAGGATTATAATAATATGGCAATGAAACCAAAATAGTTATTTGAAAAGAAAACATTCAATGTTTTTCTTGGATTTATGATATAGACTGCAGCTGTAACTTTATATTTAGATGACTAATGAAAGCAAGGGAAGCATGTTTATTAATAGATTGTGATAATCTAGTATAAATATTTCTATTTGAAATTGTAATATCTCATGGAATGTTTTATAAAATAGAAGCCACATCTTATATAACCCAACTTGTAAATTATGATGATGGCGTGTATCTAATTTAGTTGTATTTTAGGAATCTCTTATTTTAAATATGGCCAAGACTGAATATATTTTGATGTCACATAATTGAGTTCCATGTATTACCGCTTTTGTTTCAAGCTGCCTATGACAGTAAGTAATAGCTTGTATTACTGAATGCCTTTGTGTTTTCTGCAAATATGAAGGCATTTCTTCATAATTTTGTATATTTATTGTTTTATAAATACTTATTTTTGTACTTAACTCCTATAGATCTCTAATGCTGTATGCTTGTATGTTGTTTTGAATACTTGGAGGGTTCTTTATAATAGCATGAAAGTTTTTTTTTTGGTAAATGGAAGTGCATTCAGATAATTTAAATTCAATGATAACTCAAGGTTAATGCTGTATTCTTCAATGAAGAATCTATAGAAGTTTACCTTTATGGGATGGTCTCAACTCAAACATTGCATTTTATTGATGTTTTACTTGTATGGCCTGGGTTTATGCTTTATTAAGGTTACACTTTTTAACAATAAAAAAATGTATACACATTAGTATTTTCAAATGCTATTATTGACTTTGCACAACCATAATTTTGGGATGATTGTTTATGTTAGTATAGACTCCTGTTTTGCATCATTGCATGCTCTGATAAAGTATTTTATATCTTATTTATCTATTTTGCTCAAGTACTTTATTATTTATATTCTGTTTGATAAATGTATCAGCTCTTAAATTATTTTATGCTTATATGCTCCTTCAAATGTGATACCTATTCTTCATAGTGTGTTAGACATCTAGCTAGTTATCTTTAATGGAAATCTGTCACCTGTTTTAAACTAATCCTTATTTTATTTTAGATTTTTAAATAATGTAATTAGTTCTATCCATGTATAATATCATGTATATGAGTATATGTTAGTCAAGCATGTTCTTAAACAATATTCATATTATCCCTAACAACTTGCGACCGTAAAATCTGTATTTGTTCAGATAAAAAATCATACAAAAGTCGGCCTTTCTGCAGTTGTTTTGTAAATATACAACTTTGACAAGCACTGACTGCGTGCGTGAGCGTATTAAACTACAAATGACTATTGAGATTGTGTTAAAACAATGTTTAAATTAACACTAGATCTATCCCAGCTGGCAATGCTGCTATTATTTATTTAATAACCTGGTTGTCTTATTTTTTAGCCATAACCGGTGGCCATAGTTGAATGTTAGTGATCCCTAGATGTAAATTGGTGGTTGTCCATGGGTTATGTGTCACTGGCTCCAAAACTGATATTTTTTGTAATCTTTAATATTGATGTTTTATGTTTTTTATTAAAAAAAAAGGAATATTTTTAATTTTATGTTCGTTTTCGTAAAGGGAATGCCGGAAGCATGGGCGCGGTTACTGATGGCTTCGAACATCAGCAAGCAAGAGCAGAAGAGCAATCCGCAAGCCGTGCTAGACGTCCTCAAGTGGTACGACGCCTCTGCGACGCAGCCGCCCCCATCCAAATACATGACCTCAGCTCAGATGCACACCACTCATTCCGGTAAACACTATTAACAATAACCAGTAATTCAATATCATTCAATATACACACCATTTCTATAATGTGATGACTAAACGCCTAAGCTACGCGGCTTCTATTGAAAAATTCCTTATTGTCGTGTAACAACTGCCCCAAACTAACAGCTAGGAAGAGGGACAGATGGTGTTATCTATACCAATCTCATGTCAATGACGATATTGTATTGCAGTTGCCAAACTTATAATATGAATGCTAAAAAAGGAACCATGTAGGCAACGTAAGCAATCCCCCATTAGCGTTGCCGTTCCTGTAGTGAAAAATACTCATAAACTGAACTCGGACAAACGTTACTTCGACATTACGTTACTCCGACACTATTGGATATCGACATAACTTTATTCTAACAAAAGTAAAACGCCTTATGTTTTTTAACGTTTGTCGGAGTTCAGTTGTTAGCCAGAAAAAGTTCTGGGTGGCCTCCACAAAAAAGAATGTCATTTTTTATTACGCATTAAATAACATGACCAAAACTAATGGTTCCCAACTCCATCAGGCTCGTCCGTATCGAGGGTGTCTTCTAGCAGCCCGTCGTCGTCCACGCCCACCGACACGGAGCACCCCGAGCCGCCGCCTCCGCCGCCGTCCCGGCCCGACCGCACCAAGAGTATTGTGAGTCTAGTTGATATTCCTAGTGAACATAAAGCTTCAACCACACCAACGCGTGCTGATCGCCATCGCCGGCGTGATCACGGCGCAATCATAGGGAAATAACAGGTCGCGTTAACTGTCATGGGTCGCGCAACCTGTCGTTGGCCTTTGATCGCGCTTGCCATGGCGATC